AAAATCCATACTCTGAGTGGTTTTTGGACCATGAAACCCTTAGGGTTAGAGGATGTAGAGGGTTTTAGGGCACGGACTCGCAGGTCTATAGGCTTAGGGTTTAGGGGCTTCGGCGATTGGGGTTTAGGGGTTCAGGGGTTTTGGGTTTAGGGGTTCAGGGGCTTAGGGGGTGTAGGGGTTTAGGATTTAGGGGTTTAGAGGTTTAGGGGTTCAGAGGTTTAGGGCTTAAGTTTAGCGGGTATAGGCTAGAAGCTTCATCTATTGGTTTGTCTCTTATGCCATTTCCTCTTGTCTGTTATGTCATGTTAGCGCCTAAGTTTGCGCTTAAGGAGTTCAGAAATAGGATCTGGGGAGCTTGCGATCGGCGGCTTTTTTCCGATGGAGCATGGTGCTGCGATATGCTAATCTAAGGTGTGATGAAAAGTCTAGGGACTGCATTCAGTGTATCAGCTTTGAAGTAGGACTCTCCAGAAACTGCACGACCAGGTGAGGAGTCAAATAAATCAGCATCCCCTCTGTAGTGCTCGAATCTGAAAGAACCTCCACAAGTTGAAGCCCCTAAACCCTAAACCCTAAACCTTAAACCCTAAACTCCGACAGTTTGGCCCGAAAGCCCTGAGGCATTAACGCCCCAATGCCACCGGGCCACTGCAGCAAGGGCTCCAACGACATCCACAGGGCCCTCTTGAAGCCTCACGCCGGAGAGATGACATTAGGCCGCCCGCAAAGACTTAATTACGAAATGTCCGTTAAGCCGTGAGTGGGCTTCCTATTACAAGTTGAGATAAATTGCTTCCAAACCCCGTACTTACGCAACATACCTTACTGCATGGAGGGTGTCTTGCTACAGGTTGAGGCACAGTTTCAAAACCTTTCAGCTACGGAATCAACCCGAGGAACGTCGAGGATTTCTTACCATGAAAGTTAGTTAAGTAATCCTTCAACTTGTCTGAATTAAGGAATAGACGCTCAAACCCTAAACCCTTAAACCAGAAAACCCCTCAACCCTAAGCCCAAAACTCTGAACCCCTACACCCCCGAGCCCTAAACCCCCTAAAGCCCCTTCGCCCTCAAGTTCTATCCTTTATTTGCCGGTGATCGGCTCTCTGGGTGGAGCAGTTAGGATCAGAGACAAAGAGCTTCGGGGGTCATGACACTTCGGGGTGCTAGAGGGCTTTGAGTTTACTGAGGGATCACGGCTTGGCGGTTGACCCTAAACCCTAAACCCCTGAACCCTAAACCCCTCAACCCTAAACCCTAGACCCTAAACTCCTAAACCCCTAAACCCTTAACGCCTAAACCCTAAACTCCTAAACCCCATAAACCCCAAACCTGGCGGGTGAAGCACATAAGCTTGAGGTCCTTTTGTGTGAAACTGCATGCTAGAACTTACGCATTACCCTCCTCGACCATCCTACCTGTCGTACCTGGCGCAACCCCAAACCCTAAACCCTAACCGTTCTAGAAACTTGGGGCTGGTAGGTTCCTAGATGTCCCATGGATTTGGAAGTGTGTTCTGTTTGGGTTTAGGGCTTAGGGTGGGATCCCCAAAACCCCAAATCACAAACCCTAAACCCTAAAGCCCTAAAGCCTAAACCCTAATTAAACCACTCCAAACAGCCCGAAGTAGGTACTCTTCTACACTTAGAGTCGCCGGGAAACCCTGATGCTAAAGGCAAAACAACAACCCGAAAATCCTAAAACCCAAGGCTCTGAAAGCTCAGAACTCCTAAAACCCTAGAAAACACCAACGAAAACCCGAAAACAACCCAAAAGCGCTAACAAAAAAACCGAAAACCCATCCCAGGTCTCTCCAAGAAGCAGCGCCAACGCTGTCACCCACTTTGCGGCGGAAGCGAGAGCCTCGAAGTTTCTGGGGACAGGGTCTAGGGTTTACGGCTTGGGTGTAGGGTTTAGGGTTT